GACCCCACCCACCCACCCACCGAGAAGTCTCTGAGGCAAGCCCGGGCAGGGGTGCTGGCTGTGGTCACATCGGGGGCCTGGCTCCCTCCCTTACAAGCCCCCTACTTCGGGGGGGGGTCACCGCTGTCCAGCCCTCCCCCTGCCAGGCAAGGGTCCCGATGTTGAGGCTCGCAGGGCCGCGCCTTCTCTGAGCCCTCCTCCTTCCTGGTCCGTGGCCCTCGGACCCCACGCTTTCGTCAGCTCCTGCTGGCCCAGAGGATGGCCACCTGGGCTGGTTTCGGCCAGAAGGAACGCGTTTCGCCCTCCCACGGTGACCTTTAATTTGCCGGCTCCTGCCTGTCTCTCCCCCTCCCCCCGGGGCAGCCGCCCGATAGGGCGGGTCGGTCGGCAGGCACAGAGGACCCAGCTCCTGCAGTCCCCACCCTGAGGCCGCTTCAGAGCAGCCCCAGCCCTGGAGCCCAGGCCTCCCTCCTGCGGCCAGGTCCTCGCCCCTGCTGGCCCCGCCGCCCTCCTCTCCCTCTTCCCCTGACCCGCCCCGGCTGCCTTCCCGGCCTCTGTGCTTCCTGCAGACCTTCTGCCTCTAATCCCCGCAGAGGAGGAGGCCGAGGCCGAGCCCTGGACCGGAGGCTGGAGGCGGCTGGGAAGGGCCAGCGACTGGAGCCAGTGTGGCTCTTCAAAGGCCCCCATTTCTCTGCTGCTTCACCCTTTCCAGGGGCGAACGAGAGAAGGGGGGCCAGGTTTGGCAGACGCACGTACACGGCCCGTCACACTCGAATATTCCGCAGAAGCAGCACACGAGCGCCCACGGCTGCGTCCAATGCCAGTCAGACACGCACGTCAGACTATGTCCATCTATGTCCATCTATGTATGTGTGTCCTGTGTGTCCTCGGGCCACCGCACACCAGAGTTAGGCAGTGACGGGGCTGCCCGTGACGACCGGATGGCCAGTGACAGTGGGACTGCCCCGGACAGTGGGACTGCCAGGGACAGAGGGACTGCCCGGACGGTGGGGCTGCAGGGACCCTCGTGGGAGCCAGCGCTCCAGTTCGTCCAGCTTGGCGAGCCTTGCTGTTCCGGCCTAAAGCCGACGGAAGCCACGTGTGGGAGGGGCCCTCTGACGCCGGCCACATGCAGACCGCTTGTTTCGGCAGCTCACGGGCATCGTGTGGAAGGGGGGCCGGTTTCGAGTCGCCGTCCGTCACCGTCAGAGCGTGGAGGCGTCTCGGGGCCCATCCGTGTGGCCTCCTCGTCTCCCCGCGACGGCTTTGAGGCCGGGCCGGCAGTGGCTCGCGCGGAGTGTCAAATGGCCCCCGAGCGTGTCCTCTCTTGAGGCCTGACCCCTCCCTGTGCCTCCCGAGCGCCAGCGGCTTCTGGCCCGGGTGCTCCGGGCACGCGGGCTCAGCCAGACCGCGAGGCCCTGAGGGAAAGGCCCGTCACCGTGCACGGAGGGAGGGGTCCCCACGGGCATCACTGACCGTTTTGGGGGATCACACTGGCAGCTCAGGCAGCGTCTGCTTGTGTGTCCTGGGGGCCCCCCGGGGCCTTGCGTGCGGGGACTTGACAAGCGTGGTCTGGACGGGGGCCTGGGAGTCTGAGCGGAGGGGCGGGTGAGCGCAAGACACGCGAGGCGGCTTCCCGGAGGAGGTCGCGGGACACGGTCCGATGCGTGTGAAAAGCGGCCGCTTCCCTGCGCCTGGAACCCGTCGCTACGATCAGGCAGAGAGGGTCCCGGGTGAGCAGAGCTGAGGCTTGTGCGGTGAGGCCGGCCGGGGCCGGCCCTCCCAAGGGTCCTTGTAGGACAGAGGCAGAGGGCGATGACAGAGATACACGGAGAGGGCCACGTGGGCGCGCAGGCACAGGCGGGGCTGGAAGGGGCAGGCAGGAGCCTCACAGGGGCCGGCGACACCTTGACCTGGGACCCCTGGCCCCAGAAGCAGGAGAGAACAGGCTCGTGTTGTTCTCAGCGCCCCGGTGTGTGGTGATGTGTCACCGCCGCCACGGGAGACCGACGCATGGACTTTGAGTGGCACCCGCCCGGGACCACCTCTCCAGATGAGCCCGCGACGCCGAGGCAGCGTGCGGCCCACCTCACGGGCTAGGTGCGGGTCCCTTTCTGCAGTGCCTCTGGGAGCTCCCGAGACACGGGATCTGTGAGCTTGCCCTGAGCCGAGCTCTCCGGGGAGGTAGAAGCACAAACACGTGCTGGTGGTCGGCACAGCTTCCAGCCAGCAAACTCCCCCCGCGGCTCGGCCGCCCAGGCTGGGTCTGCAGCCCTCCCGGTCACTCGCCACGCTGGCCCTGGGCTCTGCAGGGTGGCGGTCCCGGTCCCTCCGTGGTCAGACTCTGCCCGGCAGGCCGGGGTGGCGCCCGCGTCTTTGCCCTCCTCTGCCCTCCCAGGGGACGGGGTGCGAGGTGCCTGTGGGCAGTCCGGGGGCAGACACGGAGCTGCCGTGGGGCACCGAGGAGCAGGTGCAGGGGCTGTAGAACGGGGGTCAGCAGAGAGGGTCAGCTGACCAGCGGAGGAGGGGAACATGGACTGCAGGCCTCAGGTGCTTCTGTGTCACTGTCCGGAAGAGGGGGCTGCAGGGGGCTCCCCGGATGACAGGGGGTTGGGGGCACAACACGGGGGTTGCCCCCGATGGGGAAGGTCCCTGCGGCATCGTCCCCAGAGTGGGCACTTTGGAAGACGGGGCCTCAGGGTCTCCCGGGTGAATTCGGGATTGCCGTGAGGTTCCCGTGAAAAAAGCTGAAGGGACATGGGATCATCGGGTCACAGACGGTGGAGCCAGGGTACAGACAGGACCCTGTGACCCAGGGTCAGGGTCAGGACCGCAGTTCCCGGCGCCTCTGCAGCAATGCCCCATAGGTCAGAGTCCCATGAAGACAGAGGGGCCAGGGCAGAGTGTGTGGGGGCAACAGAACGGGGTATAGGTGGGGTGTGAGGCAGGCCAAGGGAGTCTGGGTCCTTGACAGGCAGCAGCTGCCCTGGGAGAGGGATGGACGTGCTCTGGGCAACCCCAGAGGACAGGATGGGGCCAGGTTTAAGGCAGGAAATTGGTCTCTTGTTTGGCCGTGCCATGGGCTGCTCTGTGAGGTGGTGAGCTCCCCGACCGGGGAGGTGTGGAAAGAGAGAGCCAGTCACCGGGCTTCCGAGCACCAGGAAGTGAGCATCTTGGCTCCAGGCTCTGCCTGCAGCAACCCGGTGTCTGAGGCCCCTGTGTGGGTAGGGGCGAGGCCGCCGCCGGAGGGCTGCAGGGCAGTGTCTCCAGGATGCCTTGCTGGGGGCTACGTCCAGGTTCGCTGTTTGCAGACACCCCGGCAGGGGCACCCAGCGTCCCGGGCCAGCCCAGCAGGGCCAAGGGTCAGCGGGGGCGGTCCCCCCTGCTGGTTGGGACTTGCCCGGCCCTGAGTGGGGAGACGGGCCGGGCCGGGCAGCGCTCCCAGCACGGCGCCGGAGGGGTTCGGCAGGGCGAGGCTTTCCGCCCAGCAAGGAGGGGCCGGGGAGACGGCTCCTGGAGCCAGACTCGCTCCCGCTGCAGAGCCAGGTGGGTGCGGGCCCCCCTCAGGCTGAAGGCCCCGCGGGCTGGGGGACAGGCAGCTTGAGGGCCTCAGGCCGGCCGGGGGGGTTGGACGTGTGGCCCTGACGGGAGAGGAGGCAGGATTCACAGCGGGCTGCGGCCCGGGCTGCCGTCTGAGGCGCCAGCTCGCAGGGGGGCACAGGTGCCCGAGGGGGCTGCTCAGGTCACCGTGGAAACACAGTCCCAGCGCTGATTTCCAGCTGCCTCCCACGCAGGAGGTCTGGGGAGGCCACCCCCCGGGCCTCACCTTTCTCTTCGGAGCGATGGCATGCCATGCGGCCCTCCCCCAGGCTCGCAGGGAGGCCCACATGCCACAGACACCCCGCGGCTGCTGCCATGAGGGTGGGGGGCGCCAGGAACGGGGTCCCCACCTCCAGGACAGCAGGGCGGGAGGTGGCCACACCCCGAGTGGCGGTGCCCACTGATTTTTCTCCAGGGCGGTCGGGAGCCTGAAGGTGCCTTGGGCCCAAGAGGCGGAGTCAGCGTGACAGGAGGGAGGCCCCGGGCTGGGTGGTGACCAGGCCCCGCCTCCCCGCCCAAGGCTGCGGCGGTGACATTCCTAATTGTCGGTGACTGACTCAGCCTCGCTTCAAAGGTCTGGGTCAGGCCCACAGCCCCCGTCACTCTGGAATTCTGCTTCTCCGGGGAGCCGGCCCGCCCGAAGAGTGCTCCTCGCCCGGCCGGTGCCTCCCCCCGTCCCGTCCACACCCGCCCCGGCCATGGCCGTGCAGGTGCCCCTGTGGCAGCACTACCTGCAGGCCATCCGCTCGCGGGGGGCACGGCGGGCGCAGGACTTCCAGCGCGCAGAGAACGTGCTGCTCACGGTGCTGGAGCACGTGCACCACCTGGACCCTCGCTTCCTCGTGGACTACTCCCGTGACCTGGAGGCCTTCCAGTTTGCCCTGCGCACCTCGGAGGAGCCCCTGCACGTGGAGGTGCCCCTGCGGGTGGACGCGGACGCCCTGCTGATTGAGGAGGTGGGGGCCGCCGAGGCGGGCGACGGCCCTGCGCCCTGCCGCCTGGGTGTCTCCAGGGAAGGGGCCCGCCCAGAACGGTGGATGGCCCATGACGTCCTCAGCGTCTCCTCCGAGGGTGGCGCCGGGTGCCGCGGCCACATCGCGCCCAGCAAGGTCCTGCGCGTCCTCAAGGACCTTCTGGTGGCGGCCGTGGTGCACTGCAGACACCAGGGCCTCGTCACGCCAGGTAGCGGGCGGGACAGCACGCGCGTGTGCTGAGGTGTGTGTGTGCGTGCGTGTGCACAGACTCGCGATGGCTCAGTGGGTGTGCGTCTGCGTGCGTGTGCACAGACACGCGATGGCTCAGTGGGTGTCAGGGCACACGGGCTGGGGGATCCCGCTCTGAAATCCTTTCTGGTTCCAAACACTTCTAAGAACGCAGGTCACCCATTTCCACGTTGCCTGATTTTCACATGGTGACTTTGGCGGTAACACGTTAACGGATGTTACTTGACGAACAGCTAGAAGCTAAGTCCGGGGCACGGGGTTTCCGGCTGACCTGCTTGATGATGGTCCCTGCCATAGTTCTGGGCAGGTGGTTCTGTTATCAGTTCCAGCTCAGCATGACGGGCGTCCCCGCTTCCGGCATCTGGTCACAGTGCACGGAGTGGGAAGACTGCGTGGGTGCGTGTGTGCAGCGGGTGCAGGCCCAGGACAGCAGAGCACCCTCCTGGGGGCCAGAGCAAATACATCGGGTTGTCCTGGCAGAGAAGTGGGGATGCAAACAGAAGTCCCGTTTCCCTTGTGAAGGAACGGGCCATGGCGGTGGCAGCCGCCTGGTCCTCGTGTCTTTCATAACGTCAGAGAACGGGGATGGACGGTCAGCCCGTCGCAGGGACAGTGGCCTGCCCCGGGCTGCTCCGAGAGGCTTCTGGACGGTCTCCCGACAGCAAGAGGGGCGACGTCCAACCCTGGCCCCTCTCCAGACCTGCCTGGAGACCCGGGCGGGTGGCCACCCTCTCAGAGCTGACGATAGATAGAGCCCTCCCAGGGCAGCCGGAACCTGTCATCAGGCCCCTTGGACATCTTCTCTGGTCATCTTCTGAACCTTTCAATTACCGCAGGTGACTTGGCAGGGCCACTCCTGTCTTCTTCCATGATCTACGGTGGCCATGCCCACCCGGCCCTGTCACCTGCAGGCCGTCTGCCCCGCCTGCTGGGATGGCCCAGCCCTGGGCCTTTCAGGCACACTCTGAGCTGCCACTCCCAGGTCCCCACCGTCCCCCGGCCCGGCCCAGAAAGCAGAGGAGGCTGGGAGCCACGCCCAAGGGGCCGACCGAGCTGGGCACGCAGGGAAATTCCAAGCATCGCTCCCAGACACTTACCTTAAAAGGGAAGCAGAGCAACCCCAGGTGACGAGGTTCAGGCTGCCCGCACTTGGGAACAAACCGGTGAGACCGGGCTGGGGGCTGAGGCAGGGAGTGGCTGGGACAGGCTGCGGGTGTGGCTGGCCGCCCTCCAAGCCGCCTCCGTGGACAGAATGTGTGACCAATGGTAGGTAGGGAAATGAAGCCACCAGTAGTGGCTTTGGATGACAAGTGCCTCAAACCCTGAATTGGAAGGGGCCAGGGGTCACTGAGCTCCTTCCTTCCTGTGACCGATGGGGAAACTGAGGCCCATGTAGGCGATGGAGTGGTCCGGTGGCAGGGCCAGGACCTGGAATACCCCACAGGGGTTTGGGGGGAGCGGTCTGCATAATGGGGCCCAGGCTCCTTCCTACAAGACCCCCACGCCGTGGGTGGGCCAGGGCGGGCTGCGTGCCGCTGTAGGACGTGAGGAGCCCCACCCCCCGTGCTCAGTCCCTGCAGGCACATGTTGGGGGTTCCCTTTGGGACATGGCTCCCAGACGGTTGGTCCCCTGGCCCCTGACCAGCATCCTCACTGGGCAGTGCTGGGGGAGGGAAGGAGGGACGTCTCCGAGTCTGGTGTTGGCTGGGGTTGGTAAGGGCCGGTGACAGGAGTGTCCCCCACACTGCTCAGCTCCCCTCCTCTCTCTGCGGTATCAATTTGTTTACTGGGGGGGAAGGGACAGCTGAGGAGGAAGGCCAGAGGGCCCCGGGTCATCCCCGAGTGTCTCCGCCTCACCAGCCCCCAGCCCTGTCACCCTTGGAATGTCCCCTCCTGGGTGGTCTGGGGGCTCTGGGCTCTGGGTGTGGGTGCTGGGCTGGGTCCGAGGGGTGACGGGAGCGGGAAGCATCTTTACTGGAATGCGCCATCTGGCGTGTGGCTCTGGGGACCCGGGGTGTGGAGTGGAAGCCAGGCGCGTCCACTGTCAGCCTTTGGATCCAGGCCCTCCTGGGCGTGGGGCACCAGGCACGCATCTCCCGACACCGGGCCTCTGGGGTCACGTGTGTTAACCCCGAGCCGTCCCGGGTCTGGCCCTGTCCTTCACCTGCCCAGCCCCTTCCCAGAGGCGCGGGGGGCCGTCTGAGATGAGGGTTCCAGGGCACGGCGGGCTGTTGCAGGTTCTCTGAACGCGGACAGCCTGGAGGAGAAGGAGTCCCACCTGTCCCTGCTCGTGTCTAGCGGCTGGCGACCCATCCGGTTCAACATCGTGCCCATGGTGCGGAGAAAGCTCGGGGTGCCCGCCCTGGAGAGGGCTCAGTGGATGCGCGGGTTCCCTGAAGGCAGCTTGAAAAGGATCATCAGCCAAGAAGCGGCCCTGGTGCCAGCCAGTGCCCAGCACTGGAGGTCGGACACGCGTCCTGGGGTCTGTGGGGTCCTGGGGAGCCGGCGGGAAGGGGGCTGCCACCCCACTGTTCTTCCCACTCCAGGCAGGAAGGTCTGCGGGGACCCCCTCCCCCCGCCTCTGCCCCATAGGCTTCTGTGCCGCGCTGACGTCCCTGGGATCTCTGGGGGACGTGGGGTCATCACTGCCCACCGCCAGCTTTGCCCCTCTTGGAGCTGCGGGGAGGGTGGAGCCGTGCCCCCTGCCGCCCGAGCCGGGGGCCAGGGCGGGCTGTGAGGGGACACTCAGAGAAACGCAGAAGGCTCTGGACACCAGAGGCCGGGTGGCTCACCCAGGGTCCCGCAGGTTCCGGGGACAGTCGGGAGGGGTGTCCACACAGTGAGGTGGGGGATGCGATCGCACCGGGAATTTGCTAGCATTTCCTGTCCCGGTGGCCCTTCCCCATTAGGAGACGGTAGGTCCTCCTGCCAGGAGACCGCCACCTGTGGTGTCCCTGCCCCCGCCTGGCCCCAGAGCCCCAGCAGCCCCTGTGGGCCCCCCCCCCGTCTCCACCCCAGGAGTCTGCGAGCTGGGGGAGGTGCGGATGCCCCTTCCCCTCCCTCTCCGGCTGGCAAAGGGAGACCCCGAGTTGGTGTCCGTGAGCAGGAAAGACAGAGTAGGGGACGTGGGGCAGAGGCTGAGCTCCCCTTGAGACCCTGAACCAAGGGCCGGGGACTGAGCCCATCCAGCTCTGACAGGACTTAAACAGCAAGGCCGCTGTGGTTTGGCCAGGGTGATGCCCCACTGGCTCCCACGCCCGGGGAATGCAGCCCGGGGCTGAAGTAAGCAGGGGTCGCTCTCACGGTTAATCCTTGGAAGTGGATGACATTCATGGGGCTGGGCCGGGCCGAGTGCAGCGGCATAGTCCCTGCCGTGGCCTGGACCATCCTGTGGGGCTCAAGACCTGATCCTGGGGAGGCCACGGCTGGGGGCTTTCCTTTCTGGGGATGCAGCGTGTCCCTGGACGGCTGGCCGGAGCCCCGATGCTGACCGAGTATGTGTGCTGTCCCGGCCCCCAGGGTCTCCACGGACTACCTGCTCACCAGGCTGCTCGGTGCGCTGGGCTCCCTCCCGGGCCACCGTCTGGACGGCCTCTCCATCCTGGACCGGGTCAACCACGAGAGCTGGCGCGACGGCGGCCAGAGCCCCGGCCTGAACTTCAGTCACCTGAAGGTGCGCATAGGGGGCTCGTGGGCACACTGGCCCCCGTGGCCGTGAACGTTACCGGCCGGGGCTCCCCACTCTGAGCCCTGTGCTGCTCACTGGCTGCTATGACATGGCTGGAGCCGTGTCCTCCTCGGCCCCTGTGACCGTCAGGGGCTGAGAAGAGCAAAGGAAGGCCAGAGCCGGGGCACAAGACCTTGAAGGGGAAGTGGGCGGGGTCTCTGCCTGGAGCGAGCCGCGGTGGCGTGCGGAGGCCTGCCGAGTGCTGCTCCGTGATGGCAGCTGGGGGTTAACAGAGAGGTGGCCTGGCCTGCACAGGAGAGCCCGTCTGACCCGCTCCCCACCCTTGCAGGCCCTCATCCCACCCCCGAGGGGCCGGCAGCTTCTAAGAGGGCCCTTGGCGTCTGGCCCACTGTGGCTCCTGAGCCCCATAGTGAGCAGGGATGATGGGGGCTGGTGGGAGGGCACAACTGTGGCTGGGGAGGGGCCCTGGCTGGGGGGCTCAGGGACAGGGGGAGGAAGGTCCACTCTTACGGCTTTGATGCGGACCTGGGCCAGGACGATGCCACAGGCTCAGGCTGGTCTGTATAGCAGGAGTGCCGTCAGGGCGCAGGGCACGATGGGAAGGGCCAGAGGAGGGGCAGAGCCTCAGAATCTCCTGAGAGGGGTCCTGGGCACCACGGATGGGAAGCCAGAGTGGGGCCCCAAGGTCCCTCCGAGCCTGGACTCAGTGGCAGTGCCTCGGGGAATTGGGGAGGTGGCAGGATGGGGACAACAAGTGGAGAGGGGCTGGGGCTTGATCTGGGACCTC